GCCATTTTTCCTTATTAATTCAGAATTTTTTGTCCCACGTGCAGAAATTGAGATTTCTGGTTCTATGGTAGGTACCTGGAGAACCAAATATCTCGTACATTTGCTCTCGTTATTACAGGGCTCCCGAACTAATATTTGGGGCCACAGAGTACACAACTGCAATTGATATGTGGTCGGCTGGTTGTGTTATGGCCGAGTTACTTCTAGGGCATGTAAGTGCTTTTGCTGCTTCGCGTTCGTCAATATTTCAACTTTATTTTATTTTATTTTTTAAAAAATAATTTACCTTTGACAAACAATATATATGAATGAATGAATGAATGAATGAATAAACTCGTTTTTTGACCTTGTTTATGCATCTTCTGCATGGATCTCTTTATCTTTTTCTTTTTTCATTTTTTCTTTTCGTTTTCTCTTTAAATCAAGAACTCTGATGCATTATTCGAACACGTGCAGCCTCTATTTCCTGGGGAAAGCAGTGTTGATCAGCTAGTCGAAATAATTAAGGTGCAGTATACTGTTTTTTATTCCAGAAAAAAGAAAAAATAATATGTGATACATGTAATTGTTTTTATGTGCACTTCTAAATTGGTTATGCACTTATTTTCGTGTTAGATTTTGGGGACACCGACAAGAGAGGAAATCAAGTGCATGAATCCAAATTATAGTGAATTCAAGTTCCCTCAGATTAAAGCTCACCCTTGGCACAAGGTTTGTTGAGAACTCAACTGCTGCCGTTTCTCGTTTCTTAATTTTCTCATATTTTCCAAATATTACTAAAAAGGGAAAAAAGAAGAAGAGAAAAACGAACGCGGGAGATTTAAAATGGCGCTGATTTTCAGGTATTTCATAAGAGAATACCACCCGAAGCAGTTGATTTAGTCTCAAGGCTACTCCAGTATTCGCCTACTCTAAGATTTACTGCAGTAAGTCACTCTCCTTTACTGCTCATTTTCACTCCGAGTTATTTATTTTTTCTGAGTTACACTCAATCATTTTTCTCAAACACATGTCATTATTGTTTAAATATAGTTAAACTTTTTATTGAAT